TTCTGTTTAAATAAAAAGGAAGGTTTTAATTTTAACATAGTAACATATACTATATATATATATATAAACATATTACATGTAACAAAACAGTTATCAAGCAAGAATTACAGTTACAATATTTATATCTATTTTATCTTTTATCATAACTAAGGAAAACAATAACTATAAATTCTTCAACTCCATCAAAGACTCCAGAAGGATATAATATTACCAAAGTAAACTGGAAATACATTGTAAGCAACTTGCAAAATTCTAGAATTGACAGAGACATCTTGCTGCCTGGACAGTCACCCAAAATTTTTCTGTACCAATAGGGCATCCATCTTCAGCCTAAGGCCTATAGTATCCAGGAGACTTTTCCATGAAGCAGGAAATATTAAAGACACTGCTGCCTATATTGGCAGTTTTCCAGTCACTTGCTTTTGTATCCTGCAGAACGTCTAGTAGAGCCTTTTATGAAGCAGGAACCCTGAAGGATTGTCTCCCTTTAGGCAAGTTCAGCAGTCATTGCTCTGTGGATCCTGCATGTTCAGTTTATGCAACAGTCCAGGCAAGAGTAGTGTCTTGCCCAAATGACTAACTAACTCCATAGGGAGTCTCTTCCATGCCCATCTTCCTCTTGAAGTAGCTTGTGCTGCTAGGAGCAGATGTGTCTCACTGTCATGCAAGGTCTTAAGTTCTTAAATATTTTAAATGCCATATTCTCAAGGTCTCTGAATGATTTGAAGAATACCTATATAACTGAAATTTATCTCTATATATCTAGAAAATCTAACTAACATGACTACAAGCTTGACTATTATAGATGATTATCTATTAGCCTATATTTTTAAATTATACATTACATTTTTAAATGAGCTATACAAACACAATACCTTAATCAAGAGCAGAAATATACATATAACAAAATTGACCTTAAATTTATTATTATATCAATAAAACAAGATCCATACCAATGCAACTTATTCATATCTATATCATATCCCCCTTTAAATGTAAACAAACATTTGTAGACAATATTTGGGAATATGGATATAGTTATTTCTCTCTAAACTGCTTCCTGCTGTTTATTAAATGAAGTATTTTCTTTGTGGGGGTGTTCACAGCAACCTTTCAGGGAATTTTGATCAATCAAACTATATTAGCCTGGAATGAATCCACATGTTCTCATCCTCTGTGGAGACAAAAGAAAAACCTCTTTTCCAAAGCAACATATCCTTAGATCCAAATTCTGAAGTCAAGATACCTTTATAAATATACATGCTGGTTTAGCTTAGCAGCCCATACAAAGAAATTTCTCTCTGTACTTAGCTCCTTCACAGTCAAAAATTAAAAAAAAAAAACACAATAATATACAGAATCCAGACTCTTTGTGTATAGTCCATCTTGACATGGCTTATTTTTCTTTACCTCTTTTAATCTATGACTGTCTGTACTCTGTTTCTTTCTTTTTTTTTTTTCGAGACAGGGTTTTTCTGTAGCTTTGGAGCCTGTCCTGGAACTAGCTCTTGTAGACCAGGCTGGTCTTGAACTCACAGAGATCCGCCTGCCTCTGCCTCCCAAGTGCTGGGATTAAAGCATGTGTCACCATCGCCCGGCTGTGTACTCTGTTTCTTTAAAGACTTTACCCTTTTTTTAAGCATTAACTTTATTTTATGACTCTCTATACTCTTTTTCTTCTCTCTTCCAAGCCTACATACACTTATCCAACACTATGACTCATCTGGATTTATCTTTATTACATATCTGTAATTCTTTGCTGTCTAGAAGAGCTTTTAAAATGACAAGCAGCTTGGTTGCAGCTGCTCTGGATGCTGTCTCTGCCTCTCTCCACTTTCAAAATGGTGGATGTATCATTACTGCCAGATCCGGTAGGAGCCAAGCTCAGCACTTTAACTCTGAGAATGAGCATGCAGCACATAAACCCTTTTTATCTGAGAAATAGCTAAATCTGCCATGCAGTGCATTGAGTGGCCTAGAAACATCTCTCTGTATGGTGGCAGGAATCTGCCATGCTCTCCTGATTGTAGACCATGCCTAGTAGACCTGATCCTACCGCCTGCCCAGGCAGGAGTGCTGAGCCACGGGCATGGTCTCAACCACTTTCCTCCCTACTCCAAGTGGGCACACAAACACCCGGGGCCACAGATGCCATTGAAATGCTCCATAGCCGGAGTTTGCACTGGTGGTAGGTCCCATAAAAACCTGCATTTCAAAATGGCTGCACAGCTCTTTTTCCTGCTGCTGCTGCTGCTGCTGCTGCTGAGTCAGGAAAATCTCTCTTAAAGGAGCTGCAACACACCAGCAGCAAACAGCAAAATGTTGTGCTAAACTCTGTATTTTTTTTCTAGAATTCCTTTTCAAGCCCTCTCAGGTTTTACATGGATGTAGTTACCCACGTTAGTGCCAATCTGTAGGAAAAGGCTGCTTGTTTTTCCCAGCCACCCAGAACCAAAATAATCACAGAAGTAAGAGGGAGGGGAGAGAGAAGAAAGAAGGGGGAAGGGCAGAAGGTAAAGAGGCAGTAGTTACCTTTTCAGAAGAGGGACAAACAGAGAGAGAGACAGGGCTGCAGAGGAGGCAGGAGATCCACTTGCCTTGGCAGAAAGGGGAGATTGGGAGTGGGCAGAGCTTATCTCTTAAAGGGACAGAGTACCTGTTTGGGCGAAAGCATCACCCCATTTCCCTAATACCCCTTTATACAAAGAGTCTGGAATATTATAGTCGGGGGCCTCATCCCAGCCCCCTGACATCCATCTTTGGAATACTAGGTAGGAACTCCATTTCAAGCCCCCTCCCCTGAGAGTTGCCTTAGTCCAAACTCCATCTATGAGAAAGCCTACGAGTAACCCCTCCCCAGGGAAGGTCAAGACCACTCCCACAGGCTACTTAAACTGCCTCCCAGAGAATGAACACATGTTCTCTGGGTTTTGTGTGGTTCCCCCCCCCCCTTCCCCTCACCGTGCTTTCCTGGTGCCACCCAGGAGACTGCATTAAACACGGGTGTGTTTTATTTGGTCTAATTTGGTCTGATTGGAATTATTTGTATTGGTGGAGAGGCTCGTCTTAAGGAAAACCTAACAGTACCCAGGTGACAGGCCAGCAGATTACAACACTCTGGAGCCCATTTTGATCCCATCCATTTTTGAGTACATTGTGTAGATTCACTCCTCTTGCCTGGGCCAAGACCAATTTACAGATAACACCAACACCTGCACCAGCTCCTGGAACGTCACCATTGGTACCACCTCTCCAGGCTCAAATGGGCACCTACCCAGCAACTAAAACCTGGATTTAAAGGGCATTCCGCTCTCATCTCGCTCGTTCCATCCACTAGCTCCATTCAAAGGGCCGCTAATAACAACTATCTTTTCTCCTAACAACCTACTTTCTCATCTCCCTCAAGAAACAGAGGCCTGAAGTCTTTAGGATGGCAGGTAACTGAATGTTTCTCCACCCATACCTCCTGCTAAAGATGAGCCCACCAACTCCCAATATTCCCCCTCCCCACATCGTCCCATGCCCTCAGGAAGTAGACTTGAACCGGCGCCCCCATACCCAAAGAGTCTGGAATGTTCAGGTGGAGGCTCCACTCCAATCCTCCCCCCCTGGAGTTGCCTCAGTCTGGGCTTCACCCCTGAGAAAGCCTAACATCCATGGCTCCACCCCCAAGGTATTAAAATCCCCCACCTCTTGGGTTCCCCTCAAGGTCTCCAAAGCCCCAACCTCTTGGGTTCCCTTCATGATCTCCAAAGCCCCCACCTAGTGTGTTCCACCCCCCCCCACCCCCACGTGGTCTCAGCTTCTCCTGGGGCCATCCAGAAATGCTTGGCTCAGAATAAACCTGGATTTATTAATTCGGTTTAATTGGCTTATTATATCAGCAGCGGCAGATTCCTATTAACCCGGAATTAAATTTAACTGAATCCTTTTTCCCTTTCCACCACGTGGATTCTGGAGGTCAAACTCGGGTCACCTGATGCGACAGCAAGAACCTTTACCCACTAAGCCAAATCAACAAGTCAAAATTTTGAGGATTTTTGTGCTTCAATTTATGGGAGATATTGGTGTATAGTTTTATTTCTGATCTGTCTTTGTATTGGGTATCAGGAGAAGAAATCCATCCTCTTTTGTACCCAGAAGAGAGTGGACAAATTTGATAAAAATATATATATTGAGACAGTCTCTCTATGCAGTCCTGGATGTCCTGGAACTCACTGTATATAGATCAGACTGACCTAGAACTCACAGAGATTCTCCTGCCTCTGCCTCCCTCATGAATACATTTTATCAATTTTTAAAAATTTTGTCAGCTAGGGGTGAGTGGCACATGCCTTTAATCACAGCACTCAGGAGGCAGAGGCAGGAGAATCTCTGTGAGTTTGAGGCCAGTCTGATCTACAGAGTGAGTTCCAGGACAGGCTCCAAAACTACACAGAGAAACCCTGTCTTGAAAACTCAAAAGAAAAAAATGACTATAGTTTGTTTTATGACTCAGGACATGGCTTCCGGCCTTTGGTGGGTGTTTATTGGGCATTTGAAGAGAATATATTTTCTGTTCTTGCTGGGTGGAGTGTTCTACAAACACCCACTGGAGTCTTTTGGTTGTTTGGTGCCACTTAACCCTCAATTTCTGAAGGTTTTTCTTTTCTTTTTCTTTATTTTGTGTGTATGGACAGATGTTTTTACCTGCATGTATGTTTCCCTCATATATGCAGTGCCCATAAAAGCCAGAAGAGGGTAACAGGTCCCCTAGCACTGAGTTTGCAGAGGGTTGTGAGCCACTGTGTGGGCGCTGGGAGTTGAACCCTGGTCCTCTAGAAGAGCAGTCAGTGTATTTAATTGCTGAGTCATCTCCCCAGCCCTGACCAAGACTTTTGATTAACATACCTCTCAAGTCTATATATTCTACTTTATTCTTTTTAATAATTCCTGTTTCTTTGCTGATATTTTACCACTTTTATGTTACCGCTTAATTACTCCTTAAGCATTTTGGATACCTTGAAATCTGTGTCAAGGCAGGGTATGGTGATGTCCTCTTTCAGTCCCAGGACTCTGGAGGTGAAGGCAGGCCATCTCTATGAGTGCCATGCTAGCCAGTGAGACCCTATGACACAACAAAGGAGAGGGGGGCTAGGGTGTATTTCAATTGGTAGAGTGCTTGCCTAGAATGCAAAAGGCCCTGGGTTTGAGCCCCAGCACTGCATAGACTAACGTGGTGGTACATGCCTATAAGCCCGGAACTAGGAGAATCACTAGGTCATCATCAACTTAGGAGAAAGATTGAGGCTAGCCTGGACTACTTGAAACCCTCAAGTCAAAACAACCAAAGTTTTCTATTTCCATCCATTTGCCTGCAAACTTCAAGAAGTCCTTATTTTTTACAACACCATCCTGAGTGAGGTAAGCCAGACCCAAAAAGAGGAACATGGGATGTACTCACTCATATTTGGTTTCTAGCCATAAATAAAGGACATTGAGCCTATAATTCGGGTTCTTAGAGAAGCTAAATAAGAAGGAGAACCCAAAGAAAAACATATAGGCATCCTCCTGAATATTAACCTTCATCAGGTGATGAAAGGAGACAGAGACAGAGACCCACAATGGAGCACCGGACTGAAATCTCAAGGTCCAAATCAGAAGCAGAAGGAGAGAGAGCACAAGCAAGGAACTCAGGACCGCGAGGGGTGCACCTATACACTGAGACAAGGGGGATCTTCTGTCGGGAACTCACCAAGGCCAGCTGGCCTGGGTCTGAAAAAGCCCGGGTTAAAACGGTCTTGCTGAACATAGTGGACAATGAGGACTACTGAGACCTCAAGAACAATGGCAATGGGTTTTTGATCCTACTGTACCTATTGGTTTTGTGGGAGCCTAGGCAGTTTGGATGCTCACCTTACTAGACCTGGATGGAGGTGGGTGGTCCTTGGACTTCCCACAGGGCAGGGAACCCTGATTGCTCTTTGGGCTGAGGAGGGAGGGGGACTTGATTGGGGGAGGGGGAGGGAAAGGGGAGGCGGCGGTGGGGAAGAGACAGAAATCTTTAATAAATAAATAAAAAAAAAACCAAAGTAATGTGATCTGAGCGTGGAGAGCACTCTGGATGCGGTCTTCGATGCTGCTATTTTACCATATAGTAGGTGAGAATCCTGATAAGCTACAGCCCGTTTCTACCCTTACGCCACATGCAGCTGCCAAGCACTGTGCCCCCAATGCTGACCCACTAATGCAGTGTCTCAACCTGTGGGCCTCAACCTATGTGGGGCCACATATCATATCCTGCGTATCAGATATTTACATTAAATTCATAACACTAGCAAAATTATAATTATGAAGTAGCAATGAAAATATTTTCATGGTCAGGGGTTAGCACAACATGAAAAACTGTATTAAAAAGTCGCAGCATTAGGAAGGTTGAGAACCGTTGTGCTAGTGGGACTGCCTGTTTACAAACACCGTGACACGTGATCTCACCTGGTGCAGCATCTGCTTACACGCTACACCCTGTCCACTTACACGTTACACCCCGTCCACTTACACGCTACACCCTGTCCATTTACACATACGCCCTGTTCGCTTACACATTACACCGCTGTCTGCTTACATCTTACACCCCTGTCCATTTACACCTTACACCTCTGTCTGCTTAACGTTACACCCCTGTCTGCCTCGTTCCCTGCTTATTCCTGGCTCGCCTTCTTACACCTGGGTTTTCTGTCTGCTTACACACCCACGTGCCAGCACCCGCCCCTCTGTTGTCTTCGCCTGCTTACACACCCACGTGCCAGCACCCGCCCCTCTGCTGTCTTCGCCTGCTTACACACCCACGTGCCAGAACCCGCCCCTCTGCTGTCTTCATCTGCTTACACACCCACGTGCCAGCACCCGCCCCTCTGCTGTCTTCAAGTGCATGCTCAGCTGTTGCCTGCTCCAGCATTCACACAGTTTATGAGGATGTGTTTTTATGTGTGCATGTTTGTGTGTGTGCAGGTGCACGTGTGGAGGCCAGAGTACAGGCTGGAGAACAACTCTGGCAGCATTCTTTGGGTACCATTTTTTTTAAGAGGCAGTGTCTCTCCACTGTAGTCTGGAACATACAATGTCAGCTAGGTTGGCTGGCCAGTGAGCCCCAGGGATCTGTTCATCCTCGCCTCCCCGGCACTGGGACTCCAGCTCGAGGGAATCAAACTCGGGTCTTCATATCTGTGTGACTAACGCTTTATCAACTGAGCCATCTCCATAGACCCTTTTGTTCTGAGTCTCACTTTGTTGCCCTGGCTAACCTCGAACTCACTATCATCCTATTTTCAATCTTCTGCGTGCTGGGTCACAGGTGTGCGCCACAACTAATTGTCACTAATACAATTCCACACTTAAGTGGTTATAAGTTTACTCAGTTCCACGCTTACCTGTGAAGACAGCCAGGTCTGACGGGGTCCACTGGTGGGGACCTGGGTAGATTTCTGAGACTTCAGTTTCTGGTCCCAAGCCCAGCAGTCAGCTCCTCTCCTCTCTGGCTTCTGCCTCGTGCTGGCTTGTCTGGCAGGAGGCCCTGGCCACACCCCTAACAGTTGCCAGCCAGCATATTTCCTATGCTCTGCACATTTTTGTGGATTTTTCCCCCTTCATTTCCACATCACTCTGGAAGAAAAATAGGTTAGAGGACGTGTGTGTTCACGGCCTGTGTGTGGTGTTCTGCGCATAGTCTTCTCAGTCACCCTGGCGAGCGGCCTGCCTTCAAATGGCTCTGCTGGGTGAGTCAGAACTGATTTTCCTTATTCTTTTCCTTTCCTTTTTTTTTCTTTAAAAAAATAAAACATTTATTTTATTTGTGAGCGAGAGAATGTGCGTGTGCATGTGCACACGCACAAGTACACGTGTGCACGTGTGCTCACGTGCAGCACGGTCCACAGTCCATGTGTGAAGACTGAAGGACAATCCCCCCCTCCTTGCACCACCAGGTTTTCAGCCTTGGCAGCAAGCACCTTTACTTGCTGGGCCGTCCAGCCACCCCTAGCCTTTTAAACTGGTAGCTGCTGGTTCTGTGGGCGGCATGTTCGAGGCCTTCTCAGGGGTTAAAATACCCCGAGTCTGGTGGTGAGGGAAGGGGAAGAACACTGGGTTGAGGGTCCCTAACCTAAATTCCGTGTCCAGAGAGGCCTTGGACCCTCTACATCTGTCCTTCCCTGTGTGACAGCAGTGTGGGGAGACACAGAGGCAAGTCCATAGGGCTTTACACTGGACCCATACTCTCACTGAGCGCCGCCCAGCCCAGCTGAGATCTGTGGAGACATTCATATTCTCTCTCTCTCACTCTCTCTCTGCCTCTGTCTCTCTTTCTCTGTCTTGCTCCCTCTCCTTCCCAACTGGACTGAGATCTGTGGAGACATTCATATTCTCTCTGTCTCTTTCTCTCTGTCTCTCTCTGTCTCTTTCTCTCTGTCTCTTTCTTTCTATCTCTTTCTCTCTGTCTCTTTCTCTCTGTCTCTTTCTCTCTGTCTCTGTCTCTCTGTCTCTCTGTCTCTCTCTCTCTCTCTCTCTCTCTCTCTCTCTCTCTCTCTCTCTCTCTCTCTCTCTCTGTGTGTGTGTCTATCTCTCTCACTGGCTCTCTCTCCTTCCCAACTGGACTGATATCTGTGGAGACATTCACACCCCCTAGAGGCGTCTCATAAAAGCTGCTGGGCACCATTCTCAGACTGGGGTTCCTCCTACTGCATCAGGATCAGCCCAACGTTGGTTAAAAGTTATTGGGCTCCAGCCCAACTCCAGGCCTAGGCGTTAACACGGGGCAGCTTACACAGTCACCCACATGGGGGTGGTGGAGGCAATTTCCCCCCACAATCTGCCCTCCACATAATGGATTCTTGTTTATCCTCAAGTGTGTGTTCCAACATCACCTCTCTCGTGCAGCTTCCTTGATTAACCTACAAAGAATTCATTGTCTCATCTCACATTCCTCAGGGCCTGACCCAGCACTCTGCATGTGGTCCATGCTCGTATTTAAGAGGAAAATCACGGGCCTGGGGAGATGGTGCCGCTGACAAAGTACCTGCCAGGCGAACACAGAACCTGAGTTCAGAAAGCCAGCTCCCACATAAGAAGCCAGGAACGGACCTGTCACCCCAGCTGGGGACAGGGATAGGTGAGTGTATGCAGGCAGAATCTCTGAAATCCGTTGGCTAGCCAGCCTAGCCTAATAGAAAAGCTTTGGGGTTTAGTGAGAAACTCTGTTTCAAGACAATAAGGGGGAACCCAAAGGACTCAACATGCTACTAGAGAGACACTTGCTCATCCAAGTTCACTGCTGCTTTCTTCATAATTGCCAGAAACTGGAAACTGCCTAGATGTCCATCAACAGATGGACGCATAATGAATACATAATGAAAATGTTGTACATTACATGATTGAATATCACTCAGCTGTTAAGAAAAACGAAATTATGAAAATTGCAAGTAAACGGATGGAGCTAGAAAATATCCTGAGTGAGGTAATCCAGACCCCCAAATATTGTATGTTTTATCTTGTATGTGGGTTGCTGTAGAATAATCCTCTTTTACACTCCTAACAAATGTTTTAGGGGTTACCAACTACTTTTTGATTGGATTTAAGGCCCTTTCCATGACATGGAACCCACACCGGACACTGCCCCAGTGACCGAGAACCTGGGAGTCAGGTCAGGGGCCTAGGGGAAACCTCCTACCACTGTTCTGCTAAAGCATGGAGAGGAAATGACTCCTCACGGCACACCCCTGCATCCTTAGACCAGCGCCTCCTCGTGGCACACCGCTGTACCCTTAGACCAGCGCCTCCTCACGGCCCATCGCTGTACCCTTAGACCAGCGCCTCCTCACGGCCCACCGCTGTACCCTTAGACCAGCGCCTCCTCACGGCACACTGCTGTACCCCTAGACCAGCTCCTTCAGCCTGTGTGAGAGAGGCTTCCTGACGTAGATAGTAATCAACACAGAGACTCAAAACCAGACAATGTGCAGAGAGTGAGAGACTTTGCATCACCCAGTCCTAAATGGGACATCTGTAACAAAGCCCTTCCCTCGAGGCTCAGGGAGCTATGCGGAAGAGGAGACAAAAATTCTGAGAGCCAGTGATGGATGACCCTGAGGAAGCAGTGTCTTCCAGACACAACAGGACTGACACAGAGCAGGTAGCAGCATGGACGGGGCCTGCATGCGTTCAAGTCAGACGGAGTCCCAGCACTGAGACAAGGTGGGGACCTGGACATGGGCTCCCACCCCTAACCAAGAAGCTAACTACAACTCATCCCTGCTGGCCAAGGGAATATTAGTTTTCTCCAATGGATTCTCACTGGACATATTAACCACGTCTCAGAGCAAGCCCGTGCCCAGGAATAGTTGGTCAAAGCCAAACAACAATTGGTATTTTGTAGACTTTTGGCCTCATTTTGCCTTGTTTTTTTTCTGGGTGTGTTTTTTAATAGTCTTGTGCTCATCCATTTCAATTTTCTTTTTTTTTTTTTTGGTTTTTTTTTGGGGGGGGTTGTATATATTTCTTGTTTTGTTGTTTTGTTTTATGTGTTTGTTTTGAAGAGAGAGAAAAAGAAAATAAAACTGGGTAGGGAAGGAAGTGAGGAGGATCTGAGAGGAATTGGGGGGAGGGGGAAACATGATCAAAATATATCATATTTCCACAGTTAAAAAGGGGGAGCTAGAGAGATGGCTCAGTGGTTAAGAGTGCTCAACTGCAGCCAGGCGGTGGTGGCGCACGCCTTTAATCCCAGCACTAGGGAGGCAGAGGCAGGCGGATCTCTGTGAGTTCGAGAGCAGCCTGGTCTACAAGAGCCAGTTCCAGGACAGGCTCCAAAACCACAGAGAAACCCTGTCTCGGAAAAAAAAAAAAAAAAAAAAGAGTGCTCAACTGCTTTTCTAGAAGTCCTGAGTTCAATTTCCAGCAACCCCATGGTGGCTCACAACCATCTATAATGGGATTCGATGCCCTCTTCTGTTGTGTAGGCATATACGCAAGTAGAGCACTCGTATGCATAAAATATGTAGATAAATAGATCTAAAAAAAAAGTGACTGAGGAAGACCTCTAGTGCCATCCTCCTGCCTCCACACACACCTGGACATGTGTGTACACACCCATACCACATGCTCAACACAATATACACACATTTAACTACGTCCAATCTACCCTGTCCCCTGACCTCTGAGGCCCTCCCTCCAGGCCTAGTGACTCCCTTCCTCCTTGTTCCCGGTGTCCGTCCATAGTCACATTCCTGACTGCCTTAACCAGGCCAGTTCCACCCAGCCTATCATTTTATTTATTCACTTATTTTTATTTTTTGAGACAAGGTTTTTCCATAAAGCCCTGGTTGTCCTTGAACTTGCTGTGTAGACCAGGCTTGCCTTGAACTCACAGAGATCTGCCTGCCTCTGCCTCCTGAGTGCTGGGTGGGGTTAAAGGCGTGCTCTCCTCGGTTTATTTTAATCACATGTGTATCATTCCCTGACCTTTTTATAGCCCGGTGCTGGGGATCAAATCTCTAATCACATAACCCACACCTACCCCACCTTTTTTAATGTACTTCCTTTCGGCTTCTCCCTTGGAAAGGAGATGAGAGATGTGTTTTTTTAGTCTAGGTCAGCAGATCTTAACCAGGGTTGGTTTTCCCCCACAGGGAACATCTGGTAATGTGTGGAGATGTTTGGAACCCCTGGAGAGGGGCTCAGGCATCAGCTAGCAGAGGGCAGGAGGGCTGCGGAGCAGGCCACAAACCTCGCGACAGAATGATCCAGCCCTAAATGACAATAGCAACTGATAAGTTGACCCTGGCCTAGGCTGTCACCTAGAAAGCCACATGAGTCAAACATATTTGCAGCATGAGCAAATGAGATGCTTATTTGTTGCTAAAGCCTAAAAGTCCACACACACTGTATTTCTGGACGCCTCGGGCTATGGGATAGGGTTTCAAGAATTCTGTACTCCATGAGGAATTTCCAGCTAAACACAGAAGACATAAACTGTGGGGCTAGAGTTTATGTTTCATAGAGCGAGGTCCTTGTCAAATGGGCCAACAAGTCCTACTTCTTAAAAAAAAGTTTTTAATTTAGAAAAACAAAGAAAGTGCTACTCCATAGTCCACTTCTCACTGGGACAGCCTTACCCAGAAAAGCCGGGGTCTCCTGACATCACAGGGATCCAGAGGTGGCTGTCCTGGGCATCAAATCAGCCTTGGTCTTTTGGTTCTGGGATTCACTGAAGCAAGATGACATGACACAGCTTTTACCACCACAGACCCAGAGCCAGGCTTCAGGAGTTTCCCTCAGCTCTGCATCTGGCCAGCTGTGTGTCCCTGGAAAACCACTTAACCCCTGTGAGCTCCAGATTTCCCTAAGGAGCTATAAACTGAAGATAATAATAGTACCAACCTCACAAAGAGTTAGTATTTAAAAAATGGTTGGAGCAGTGTCAGGCAGCACAGTAAATGCTTTATATAGGGTGGCTGTTCAGCCCTGTTTGCCTGCAGCCTGCAACCCCCTTGGTTTTAGATCGAAAGTTCAGCATCTCAGCAGTCCCCCAGGCCTGGTATGGTTCCACACACCTCTAATCCCAGCACTTGGGAGAGAGAAAGGCCCATCTCTGTGGTCTCTGTGAGTTGAGACCAGCCTGATCTGTGTGGTGAGTTCCTGGCCAGCCAGGGTACATGGTGAGACCCTGTCCCAAAAACACAAATAACAACAACAAAATAAGAAAACCCCATAGTCATGCAGGGCAGGAAGGGTGCTCATCTTGCTTATGTGTGTGCGATTTTTCTAAAACAGACCAGAAACCTCTTAGGCCTGGGGTGTCATTCAGTGGTAGACTCCTTGGCCTAGCATGCATGAAGTTCTATACCCAGTACCAAAAATTACTAACAGAGATGAGGTGTGTGTGTGTGTGTGTCTGGAGAGAGAGAGAGAGAGAGAGAGAGAGAGAGAGAGAGAGAGAGAGAGAGAGAGAGAAATGTACAGAAAAGGTTGGAAAAAATATTTGAAAACTTTCATTTGAGCCCAGAAAATTGAAGAGACCACTCAAGATTAGGTGTGGCCCTTGCCGTCTGCTTGGACCAGCTAAGTGCTACTAAATTATTTCTAGAAACCTGGTGGTCCAAGACTTCTCTGCAAAACCATCTAATTATTCTTTAAATCTCATCCTCCCATTGTTAGACGTTCCGTATGTAAAAGCCCAGATGAAAGGAACAACAACAGCAACACACACACACACACACACACACTCACACACACGCTCACACTCACACACTCGCGCACACACACTCACACACACCACACCCCTCACCACCGTTAGTAACTATCCACACACGACACAGGCTGATCCCACAAATGAGTGGCAGGAGACAGCTTTAAACTACGTGCCGATGTTGAAACTTGTTTTTCTGTGCCCATTCCCGGAAGGAGGCACACAGCGACTCTATTTGGAATGTACTTTCCACAATTGTTAGCTCCAGCTTGTCTCCAGCAACCAAAGTCTCTTTCCTCAGAATGTATACAATCAACTAACCCTCCACTGTGGACAGAATTTCCCCCAACAAACAGTTTCAGAGCTCAAAGAAAATTTAGGAAATCTGGAGAACCGTCCATATCCATGGGCTGAAGCAACCTCAGGACAAAAGTGTTTGAAGGAGTAGGGCATAGCAGCTTGTGGTGGTGCACACCTTTAATCCTAGCACGGAAAGGCAGAGGCAGCCTGGTCTCTGTGAGTGCAGGGCCAGCTCGGTCTACATAATGAGTTCCAGGACAGCCAGGGCTACATAATAAGACCTTGTCTTAAAACAAAACAAAACAAAAATCTCAACTAAATTAAAAAGAAAAGTATTTGGAGGAGGTTGACAAGATGGCAGAGCAGATAAGAGAACCTGAATTTGATCTGAAGAACCCACATCAGGTGTCTGTAACTTTAGTCCAGTGGTTCTGATGCCCTTTTCTGGCCTTTGGGGTTACCTGCACCCACATGGAACACACACACACACGCTTTTGTTGTTGTTTTGAAACAGAGTCTCACTAGATCCCTGACTTTCCTAGAATTCACTGTGTATGAGACCAGGCTGGCTGCAAACTCACAGAAATCCACTTGCCTCTGCCTCCTAGTGCTGGGATTAACCAATGCCAGTCCACAGAAAATTAAAACAAAAACAAAAGAAAGCAAAAAAAACTTAAGTGTTCAGTTGACACAGTAGGTATCACATTAGTTTCATGAAAATATATCTTTTGGGGCTAGAGAGATGGCTCAGAGGTTAAGAGCTGGCTGCTCTTCCAGAGATGCTGAATTTAATTCCCAGCACCCACATGGTGGCTCACAACCATCTGTAATGACATCTGATGCCCTCTTCTGGCCTGCAGGGATACGTGCAAGCAGACCACTGTATACATAATAAATAAATTAAATATATATATATTTATATCATTTGTGGGTGGAGTACTTGGGGGAGTGGAGAGTGGCTCAGTGGTGATGCCTGAAGCCCTGGGTTTCCATTCCTGGGTTTTGTCCTCAACACTGCAAAAATAAATAAATAAACAAATAAACAAATGTTTGGGGGAACACTATACTTGTGCTGAACCTGTACAAACTTTGCTCTTGACATTTTCTCTAAATAATACCATTTGACAACCATTTGCATCTCATCTGCACTGTATTAGGTACTCTGTTATTCAGCAGTGATCCCAGTATCCAGGAGAATGTGTGTAGGTGATGTGACTGTATTGCTGTATATACGGGACTTCAGCACCCACAGACTCCGTTATCCATGTTCCTTGCGGGAATCCTGGAACTAGTCCCCTGTAGATGGAGGGCACAACCATATTTAATATTATTGTGTTACTTCCTTCTTCAGAAACTGAGGGTCAAGAGGCCCGCGAACTTCCCTGAGGTGACTTATAAGTAAAACTCGAGTCCAAAGTGTGGTGTAAAAAGTCTGAGCTCGGCCGGGCGATGGTGGTGCATGCCTTTAATCCCAGCACTCGGGAGGCAGAGGCAGGCGGATCTCTGTGAGTTCGAGACCAGCCTGGTCTACAAGAGTTAGTTCTAGGATAGGCTCCAAAGCTACAGAGAAACCCTGTCTCAAAAAACAAAAAAGAAAGAAAGGAAGGAAGGAAGGAAGGAAGGAAGGAAGGAAGGAAGGAAGGAAGGAAGGAAGAAAGAAAAAAGAAAGAAAGACAGACTCTGAAGTCAAAACCCCACCAATCCCTCACCTCAAACCCAGAACCTTAAATCCCACCAATGGTCACCCTGGAAAGCTCTGCCCCCCAGAGACCCTCTGTTAAGCCTGCCTCCCACTCAGTTCCCTGGTGCTTCTTGCCCGAGCAGAGGCAGCTACCCTCGTGTGTCCTTTTCCACTAAATCTCTTGTGCGATTCTTTGTGTGTGTGGTGTGTGACTTTGTGGTACTCCTTGACTCTCGACTGCCAGGATGCTTACCCTTCAGAGCCAGAACACTTACACAGGGTTCTGACTCACAGACCTCAGCTCTCCCAGGGGCTTTCTGATGGGTTCTTCACAGCTTCTTAGAGAGCGGGGTGGCAAGAGATGGAAGGCCACTGGGGAACTCCCTGTCCTCTTAACTGCCCTCCATGGCCTCCTACAGCTTGGCCTAGGCCCTGAGCAGCCTGCACAAATCAAGCCACCATAGAAAAGGGCTTGGTTTGGGGTTACTAGTTGCTGTTGTTTTTGAGAAACACTTAGATCACAACATTGACGTATTTTCTTTCCTAGAAATTTTCACGCCATGAAAAAAAGTTTAACTTTTCTCTGAACCATATTCCCCGCCCACTGGATTTGTACACGTCTGGAAAAGCTAAGGGAGGAGCCCTTTGCAGGCCAACAGGCCTATGAAAAGGCCATTCACCCAGATTAACGAACTAGGTGACTCAGGACATAAGTAAGCTCCTATTTGTGGCTTAGGAAAGTGTCACTTAAAAAGATGCTGTCATCGGGGTCACGTGATAAAAGTGCAGAGAACCTAGGCTGGGTGACCTGGGAAAAGGGGCTGGACTCGTGTCCATGACTGTGGCAAGAGAGGGAGGGAGACAGGGCTGCTGGGCTACTCACACCTTTTCCGCCTGTCTGATTTCAGCTGGCGCAGACAAAATCCCAAGAAAACATCAAACGGCAAGCAGAAGAGGGAGAGCAAAGCCTTTGTGGTGTTCCTGTCTGAGGCTTAAGGGAGCCGCCAGGAGACCCAAGCAGAGCCACAGAACAGGTGAAGGTCTACATTTGATTCTCAGGACACCTATATCCTGTCTCAGCCACTCACAGGCTGTGTGACCTGAAGCAAGTTCCTTCGCCCCTCTGAACACCCTTAGGAAAAAGAAATGTCCTCTTGTCCATCCCAGTGCTCTGATGACTGGAAACAGCTGCTGGTTCACTTGTTCGGGGCCTACTAAGTTTCCAGCTGGGGACCCCAGACCTGATCTTGGTCTGTCCCAGCCCTGTCTACAAGCAATGCTATTGGATACCAGGTATAAGTCGGCTTCCATCACTAGTAAAGATACCTCGGATGACTGTGCCAACTTACTAGGGTCTCCAGGACTCTGGCAACTCCAGATATACCTGTAAGTTGTTATCTAGATTAGGGCTAGGCTCTGGGAAGGTCCATGGGGATCATCTTATTTTGAGGCTGGCGAGACTGCTCCCCGGGTCCTGGACCGTGTAAATCGGAGAAAGTGAGCTGAGCCATTCCTCCCCTTCTGCTTCTCAATCAAGACTGCAACCTAAGCAGCTGCTTCAAGCTGTTGCCTCCTCTGTGTCCCCCTCCTCCCTTAAATTGCTTTGTAGGGGGTTTTATTATGGCAACAGAAGGAGCAACTGTGCTCCTGAGGTTTTGTCAACTGATACAAACTAACTAGAACCATCTTGCAAGAGGAACTTGTGTTGCTACTGCCTCCATCAGCTTGGTCTGCAGGCGAGTCTATGGGCGGTTTCCTTGATTGTTTAATGGAGGAGGAGGGCTCAGCCAACTGTGCTGGTTCCATCCCTAGGCAGGTAATCCTGGGTTGTAAAAAAAAAAAAAAAAACAAACGAACAGGGTTTTTGAGCAAGCCAATAAGCAGCACCCTTTCATGGCCTCTGCATCAGCTCCTGCCTGCAGGTTCCTCTCCTGCTTGAGTCTCTGCCTTGGCCTCCCTCGATGACTGATCGGTGTGTACAAGGCAAATAAACCCTTCCGTTCCTGAATTGCTTTTGGTCATGTTTTTTTATTATTATTATTTTTTTCAAGACAAGGTTTCCTCTGTGTAGCCTTGGCTGTCCTAGAACTAGCTCTGTAGACCAGGCTTGCCTCAAACTCACAGAGATAGATTCTCCTGCTTCTGCCTCATAAGTGCTGGGATTAAAGGCATGTGCCACCACTGTCAGGCATTTTTTTTATAGCACTAAAAGGTAAACTCAGGCTAGATGGTGGTGGTGCACACCTTTAATTCGAGCACTTGGGAGGCAGAGGTAGGCAGATCTCTGTGAGTTTGAGGGCAGCCTGGTCTACAAAGCGAATTCTAGGACAGGCTCCAAAGCTACAGAGAAATCCTGTCCCGAAAAACAACAAAAAACAAACAAACGAAAAAGATCAAAAAAGTAAACTCAGACAATAACCAAGCCCCATTGCACTGGTCTCAGCAGCTCATCGTGGCAGCAACCAGTGCTATAATAAAACCAACCAACCTCAGGAACTGGAGAGATGGTTCACAGGTTAAGAGCACTGGCTGCTCTTCCAGAGATCCTGAGTTCAATTCCCAGCAACCACATGATGGCTCACAGCCATCTGATGTCCTCTTCTGACGCGTAGGCATACATGCAGACAGAACACTGTATACTTTTTTTTTTTTTTGGTTTTTCGAGACAGGGTTTCTCTGTGGCTTTTGGAGCCTGTCCTGGCACTAGCTCTGTAGACCAGGCTGGTCTCGAACTCACAGAGATCCGCCTGCCTCTGCCTCCCGAGTGCTGGGATTAAAGGCGTGTGCCACCATCGCCCGGCCACTGTATATATTTTTTAAAAAAATCTTTAAAAAAAAATCAACCAACCTTATGGCCAAGAAGCAAGAGGGGGAGAGTAAAGAATGGACCAGGGCCCACAACCACTTCCCCAATGGCTCAAAGACCTCCCACTAGCCCCACTCGTTAAAGGTGCCACCACCTCCCAATTGTGCCCCAGGATATGGACCAAGACCTTGGAAAATATTTACCTCCCAAACCTAAGCACTACCCAAACACTGGGTTCAGAGTAAAATGTAGCTCAGTGGTATGCTTTTTAACAAGAATCATTGTGTTCAATCTCCAGGAACACCACCGCCATGAAGGCTAAAGCCAGCTTTGCCCTTACCTAGCTCCGTGACACTGGACAAGCAAGTTCATTGTCCCAGCCTTGATTCTCTCAGGCGTAGAAAGGAGAAGTAATTCTACCTCTCATTTTCACCCCTCTTCAGTGCTGGGGAGGGAACCTAGGGGTCTTCTACATGCGAGACAAATGTTCTACCCGCCCCACTTCTCACGGTCTCTGGGAGAGGTTTACGACGCCCTATGGATCGGGCCTCCTTTAGTCAAGCTCTTTGCTGTCTGAGAAACCAGGCCCTGGGCACCAACAGTCAGTGGGCTCCCCAGTGCGGTCACTCTGGTTCACAGGCTGCCCTTGGCTTTCCTGGGACTCCCACTCAACAGTTGCAGTGCTGAGCTCACAGGGCTCTAGGCTTCAAAAGCAGCTTCAGTTGTGTGGTAAGAGTGGCTCGGGGAAAGGACGCTTCTTTTCCTCCTGTAAAAGTAGTGCAGGCTGGGGGTGGCGGTTTGCGTCTGTAACCCTCAGACTTGGGAGGAGAGGGCTGCAGTTGACCACACGGCTTTACTAACATGTTAGACGCAATTGGCCTCTGCATCCTAGTGTGGTTATCACACGCAAATTACACCTCAAAGCAATGTCTATGAAAAGATGAGGCTAATATGGAGAAACAGAGAAAATGAAAAACAAAAAAACAAAGTATAAATGAAAATGCTTCACATGAACCTGAATACATAATGAATAGATGTTCCAAGGCCTGTCGTAACAGTTCCTCCCCATGGTTTTGACACCTGATAATTATGTTTTTAAAGATAGGGTCTTGGGCTACATAAAAAGACCCTGTCTCAAAGACATGTAGGTTCTGGTGGTGTAGGCCAGAATTAGAGCTCTTGTTTAACTATGCGGAGATCCCAGGTTCCGTTTCTTACAGCTCAGAACCAAGGGTAAAGTGTGGGTCGGAGTCCAACAGCTGGTGGACGTCAGAAGACAACTCTGAGTTGGTTCTTTTTCCACCTGCACGTGGCCTCAGGGTCGCCAGGTCAGAGCAGAAACACCATTAAGTACTGAGCCCTCCCACCGCCCACCCCCAGCCTCTTCACAAAGATTAGGCCTGTGGGTTTAGGCAAATGGCATTTTAAGCAGTAAACTGGGTATGTCTAAATTAGAAAGACTTAAGCTAATGATCTTGTCTAGTCCTTTTGCTCTTATGAGTGGGGAAACTGAGGCCCAGGGAGGGCCCAGAGCTCAGTGGACCCCAGGCCCAAGACTGATGTCTAGGTCTAGCCAAAGCTCCTAGCACCACCCCCACACCGTGCCCTGAACAAACTGTTTTGTGTCTCCAGGAAAGGGGAGTTTATAAATTTGGCCACATTTTGGAACAACAGAGCCATAAATGGCCATAGCTGAGGGAGGCTGGGACGTACCTGACCTTTAAGGCTGGGGAGTGGGGGGCAGGGAGAGCTGAGCAGGCAAGGCTCCACTACAGCCCAACTACTTCACCAAGGGCAAAGAAAAACAGGGAGAGGAGCTAGCCCAGAGGAGCTGCATGGAGGCAAAGCACGGAGGAACCAAGCAGCTGCCTCTCGGTGCCCTCTGTGCTCCCTCCAGACCTTGGGTAAAACGTCATCACCTCTCGGAGCCTTCACCATCCCCAAACGAACAGGGGAAGAAATCACATAGCAAGTGTGTAAACACCCACCTTCAGGCTGGAGAGACGGCTCAGCCATGAAAGGCTAAACTCATAACAACAACAAAATAAATATATTTTTTTTTTCAAGTTACATTTAGGCTCTTCCAAGAACTGCAGGTCGCTGTGTTTTCCAGAAACATCCAGAACTAGTCTACTGAGCTAGAACAGAGGGATAGTTAGAAGTGCACAGCGTCCATATATCTACACAGGCTCCCAAGGATCAAGACTCATCATTCTGGCCTGGGAAAGCAAGCCCTGACTGCTTAGCACGGCATTCGAGGCCTCCACACAACCCCCTCAATAACTCCTTTACCTGCAGCTATTCCAGACATCTGCCCCTCCGTTCCTGCAGCAAATACGGGGTGCCTTCCTGTGCTCCACTCAAGATCAGACCTGAAATTCCTGTTTTGGTTTTTTGTTTATTTGTTTCTTTTGTTGTTGTTTTGGTTTTGGAGACAGGGTTTCTCTGTGTACTCTGGCTGTCCCAGAACTCACCCTGCAGACCAGCCTAGCCTCAAACTCAGAGCTATGCCTGCCTCTGTCTCTGCTGGGATTAAAGGGGTGCGCCTCCACTGCCAGGCCAGACCGTAAATCCTATAGTCTGCAGACTATAGAATTCTCTTCCGTTCTCAAAGACATTCACATTAACATACCACTGTGCACAGGTCTGTCTCCTCCATGAAGCTGGTAGTATCTGTCTTCTGGGGTCTGCTATCACCGGTGAGCGAGTAAATGAAGTTCTGACTGGCTGAACTGCTGACTGCTAATCAAAAATAAGAAAAGGGCAGCTCCGCCAGCACAAAAAAAGTCCAATTAGGTCAAATCAAACCGAATCAAAATGCCCATCGTTTTATTAAGTAAGACGCTCTCGGGTGGCCAAGCGCATGGCGGGGAGACAGGGCAGTAGGGAGCCCATGCAAACCTAGAACCATGTCTCCTCTGGGAGCCCACTTAAATACCTTGTGGGAGTGGTCCTGACCCCTCCTGGTCCTGACCTCCCCTCCCCCCAGGGAAGGGTCAGGACCTGGCATACTGGGATTTGGAGTCCAGAGCAATGCAACTCCCAAGTCAGGTTGCCTGGGACGGATGCCAGGGGCTGGGGGCTACGCTCCCAACTTAACACTGACCTAATACTCAGTTTATGGCTTCTGTCCAGTGACATACAGTGAAGTCTGGGTTTTCTGAGACAATTTTGTTTTGGTTTTGGTTGTGATTTTTGTTGTTGGTAGTGGTGGTAGCGATGGAGGTTGTGCTTATTTGTTTTAAGATTTTTTTTTTTTTATTTTGAGATAGATTCTAGCTCTGAAGCTCAAGCTAGTCTTGAACTCTAAGTAGTACAGGCTGGCCTCTAACTCAGAATCCTCCTGCCTCTACTTCTCAAGTGTTAGTATTACACGTGTGCACTATCTGGCTCTTGCTTTATCTTGAGACAGTCTCAAAATGTAGTTCAAATTGGTCTCGATCTCATAATCCTCCTACCTCAGCCTTCTGAGTTGTGGGGATTACAAGCATATACCACCACGCCTAGCTCTTCTGAGTCACTTAGGTCTGAATGCCACCATTGCACAGTTCAATCAATATTTACTAAGAAGCATCTATGTGCCAGGCATGTGCAAACAAACCAGATCATCCCAGACGCCACAGGGCTTCCGAGCTCTGAAGAAAAGTGAGATTGTGAGATGTTATTTCATGTGGAGTGGTCATGAAAGCCCCTTGCAGGAGGTAGCACTTGAGCTGCAACCAAAAATTAAGATAGGACTGCTTGCAGAGCCCTGAGAGCGGTGACTTGATTTGGGCTTAAGCAGCTCTCTGGCCAGACGTCGTGATGCAATCCTGTGAGGCCGGCTCTCAGGCAGAAGCAAGAGGAGGAGCCCACGCTGAAGGCCACCTAGAGAGTTCCAGGCCTCCTAAACTCTAGTTCAAGACCCTGCCCCGCAAAAGGGTCTTCTCCGTGGTGAGTGGCGGTCATAGTTCTGAGAACAGTGACCAGAGCCAGCGACAGGATTAAGAGTGGCAGGAAAGGTAAAGTGAGAAGCCACGGGGGCTCCCTCTTGAGCCAGACACTGGCCCTCCAAACCGGAGACCTTTGACAGAGTCTTATCTGTGTGCGCATGTGCA